TTATTTAAGGTGTGCTGGTATTTCAGACGCTCGTGAGTCAGAATGGAGTTTTGTGTGTTTTTATCTCTGCTGTCAATTGGTTGAACAGGTTATTTATAACTTATATAAGATGATGCTGAATTTGAACAAATACTTTGCAGTTAGGCCCTCTGGACGGTTTCTTTTTTTGTTGAGATGTTTTGTCCTTCATCCAAAGGACGTCATCAGTCCAAGGAGCCACAAACAAACTCAGCCCCACAAGCAGCACACTCCCATAATGGAAAACCCAGTTTGCTGGTGATGAGATGGTTTCTGGTGCCCGCCCTCTACCCCGTCAACTCCTCTGAGGCAGCCGTAGCCAAAGTGGTTCATACCATCAAAGTTCATGCTCAATGATCCAGGTAAAAATGTCTCAACAAAAAAAAGAAACCATCTAGATGACCTGACTGAACTTTTTTGGATATTTTACCTGGATTATTGAGCATGAACTTTGAAATTTGCATCATTCTGACCTCTGATTATTTATTCTGTGTAAACTGGTAACATGGCAGTGATTAGCCACAGGAGAACAAACAGCTGGTGAGCATTTCAATAGATTTTCATCTGCAACTTCTGCAAATGACTTCTTTGTTGGAGGCTGTTATTTCTAGCATTAATTTAATTAATAATAAGTTAATTTTCTCAATATTTGCTTGAATATCCATCTGAAATATGACCTAACAAGCTGTATTTCCAGTTAACGCGGAGTGTTTTAATAAACATCTAACTTTGCCTGTTTAAAATTCAAGTAAAACAATGCACTGATATAAGATTTTACATGTTCTGATGGCAACAGAGGCCGAACTACTTCAGGGGTTAAAGAATTCAAGGTGTTTTTAAGTAAATAATATAATTTTATATAAATGATCTTTAATTAATAATGAGAGAAGATATCCTGATGCATGCTCAATAATCCAGGTAGAAAAATCCAAAAAAGTTCAATCTGGTCCTCTGGACATTCAAAAAAAACAAAAAACAAAACAAAGCAAAAAAATAAAGCAAAAAAAAAAAAAAATGAGAGAAGATAGGATTGAAAGTTGTTTTGCTTAATCTATATTTGCTGACTGATCCAGCAGGTTCTGTGACGTGACTCTAGTTCTTTGTGAGGCAGATGAATTATTTCTAGCGATTACCAAGACAATCTCTGTAATTACCTTACAAATCAGGTTAGTTCCGGAACACCAGCTGACTCATTTCTTTGTGCCATTCTTATTAAATTATCATACTTTCCATTGCTGTGGGTGTTACTGTGCGTCACATTTAGGCAGATGTTTAAAAGCAGTGTGGCATTCAGATTTTAATCATCTCTGCATTGAGACTTTCCACAGTATTACACGTGTAGAGTGAGGTCTATTCTACACCTCACAATATCTTTAAGCAAATACACGAGTTTATTTTCTTCTTTCAGCTGCTCCCTTCTTCAGCGATCACCACAGTGAATTAACTCACACAAAGACTTGGTGATTGTTTTTTACGCTGGATGTTCTTCCCGATGCAACAACAGACCACCAAGCTACCATAGCCCTCTGTGTGGAGCAGAGAGCTGCTATCTAGGGTGCCTGGGAGAGCAGAGAGTGGGGGCTAAGAGCCTTGCTCAAGGGCCCAGAGAGGGGCAAATGAGGGTGGAGGCAGGTGTGGGTGCTTCAATTTTCCCACCCACATTTTGATGTTTGGTCTGGGGAATTGAACCAGCAATCACAGCCTCACCTTCTCTAACCTCTGCGCCACTACTCCCCATTTTAGCCCTTTTAGACAATTTTACTTTAAAAGGATAGAAATAAACCAAAGTCTCGATCACTTCATGTTAATATGACATTTGGTATTGGTGCTATCAATGTTTGGATAAGGTTCAAGGTTCTTTATTGTCATTCACATCACATGTGGTGCATGAGGTGGAACAAAATAAAGGTCCCAGTTACGCCCCAAAATAGTAATAATTTAAACTATTAAAAAAAAAACAGTATACAAGGATCTAAGATATACACAAAACAATAATAATATAATATAATGTAATATAAAACTGTTAGTATATTTATCTAGACTGATCGTGGGTTTTTGATCTGCTCAGAGACGGGATTATGATGAAATTATGACCCGGTTCTGACTGGTTTAAATGGGTCCAGCAACTCTTAAAAAGAGTCTCCCAGGGATTCAATATCCGTCAAGAAATGGTTTATTTTGCTTGCTACATCACGCAGAAAGTCTTTTGAAGCACCGTCTTGTTTTTTCCTTACACGTCAAACCACACAAGATCCATTGAAATCACACTTAGTCACTCCCCCTCATACACTGACCGGTTGTGCTTCCCTTCTGCTAAGGAGGAGTCTAGGCCCTATAAATCTGTAATGCCACAGGACATCGGCCCCTTCCGGTTCCTGATCTCACGTCGTAGACCGGACTGGCCAGTGCTGTAAACTGTAAACTTTTCCTGCCTTGATTTTAATACAGTTGGTAAAACTGAATTCACATTTCCTTGATTTATTAATAGTATGAGTTGCCGCTTCTGAGGGAGGTCCGAGCTGGGGGACAGTGTGAGCTGGGGGTGGACTTGGGGTCCGATGAGGCCTAAGGCCCACAGCTAGCAACAGCTAGCTGCAGTGACCCTGGACCCGCGTCCAGCCCCCGTTGTAACAATACGGTGTATTAAACAGCAGCCTGAACATGAGTCTGTTGTGAGCAGATGGGTATGCTTATGGTAAGAATCAGCAGAATGTATACTCAGCAGCACCTTAGACGATAACCTATCTGCTGTGAGCAAAATAACTCATGTAAGCACTTAGTGGAAGAAATTTTCCAGGCAAGATAGAAAAAAAAAAAATCATTTTGAAATCAAACCACTAAAATTAAGATTTTAATTCACTGTAAAAAGAATAAAAAAGTACACAATTCAATGTTACACTTTAATACATTAAATCACAGTTAGCTCTGGCCATTTTAAACATTTTTCTCTGTAAAGGTTTTCCTTTGTTCTGTTTAACGTGATTTTATCAATTTTGATAATTGTCATTAAAAATTGGTTGTTTTATTGAACTTTATCTCACCTTTGGCATTCCTGGCTCAAAAAGACTGATCTTTAGATACGACTGCATGAAACACTATCTGAACTTCTGCATGAACGTGGCAGTTCCAGTCAGGACTGTTTGTTGTTATGTTAATAAGAAACCTTGGATAGCCAGTAGGGACAGACTAACCTGAACAAAAAAAAGACTGAACTTCAAAGAAATGGACCCTGGGGAGTTGGAAACTGAATGTATGTTTGAAAAATGCAAAGGAGTTCAGAAGGAAGCCTGAGGGAGAACAACAAAAACTTTAAAAAAAAACTAAAAACTTTATTAACTTGATTGTCATTCAAAATTGTACAGTGCACCATGCAAAATTGAACAAAATTTTGTTTCATTTCTCCACATCAGTGTAGGAATACATAGCTACATGAATTTTATAAACTTTGGTGTTTAGAGCAGAAGATGCAATTCTGGTGCAGATGCAAGGAATGTAAAAGTATTAGTGAATGTTCCTATATACACCTAGACATATAAAATACATACATGCATGTACAGATATTTACATATATGTATATACAGTATACATACATACACAATACACACAGCATCCATGCATGAGTGATTTCCCATATACTGCTTATTTTGAGTATGATGTTTACTGAGGTATGTCTGTATCTGGGTGTGTTTGCTATATTGTGGTCAACCTGTCTTATAGCTCGTGGGATGAAACTGTTGTAGAACCTGTTGCTTCTGGTCTTCAGGCTGTGGTACCTCCTGCCAGGGGTCAACAGAGTAAACAGTCCATACTGTGGTTGTGAGTTGTCTCTTTTGATTTTATAGTCTGGTCAGACAGCATCTGAGACCTATGTCCTGTAAATTAACAGCATCTGATGCTGCCATTGATTTCTCAAGTGCATTCAGTACTATCCAGCCCACCTTACTCCAACAGAAATGGACCAGCATGACTGTTGACCTACACCTTGTGACTTGGATCAAGGACTAACTTCCTGGGAGGCAACAGTTTGTCAGAATGGGAGGCAGTGTCTCCACCAGTCACCAGTAGCACAGGAGCACCCCAGGATACTGTGTTGCCTGCTGCCCCATTCACCCATACACAGAACTCTGTCACGCGAAGCAGTTTTTTGATGACACTGCCATTGTGGCATGTATCGTGGAGATGAAAAGGGGGCATACAGACACTTGGTGAAGGACTTGGAAGGACTTATTGTTTGTAATTTAATGTTTTTGTTTTTAATCGATGGGCACCTTCCTACAGTTTACTTAGCCACTGGTACTGTAATTACTGTTTCTATAATGCAATACTTGAGAACTCAGTTCAGTAACACATTTTTATTCATTCTTGTTTTTCAGTCATGCTTTCAACTCCTTCCTACCATCTTGCACTTTAGTTGTTTTACACTGGTCTTTTATTGTGTCTCTGTTGTTTTCTTATCATTGGATTGTGTGCTTTGAAACAGCTGGCAACTTCTGAATATCCTTCAGGATTATAAAATCTTGTCTCTTGTCTTATCTTATCTTACACGCCCTCAGGTACATTTGAGTAGACATGCACACCTCACTCTGCTTCTAGCCTTCATGGCAACACCTGCAGGATTCTGTCCCAAACAGCATATTTTCTATAATCCCTGTTGGTATTCTCATAAACAACCTCAGTATTGATTCAGTCAATTCAGTCACAATCTAAAACTTTTCTTGCAACAAAGTTTTTTTTTTTAGACCATGCTCACAATTTATGGAAGCACAATGACCCAAAGATGAACTGGTATTGAGGCCCTTGTTGTGTGAGCTCACATCAGTAAGGCCTAAAATTGTACTGTTTATACAAAGACAAATGGATAAACAGCTCTATCATAGCATTAGTTAATGATACTGTATGTGGATTTCAATATATGCACATAATCAGACATACTGGGGTGGCCATTTCTGACCAGGAAGACAAAAGGAGGGTTAGGAACTGAACTAGAAGTTTGTGACGAGATGCTGAATCGTCCAGCTCTGCTGGCTGCACTGCTGAATGATGAGTTGATAGTCAAAGCTTTCCCCCTGAGCGATCTCAAGACATCTGTTGGTTTCCTTGTTCCTGATTGCTTGGCCCTGAAGGGGTTCAACAGGGAAACAAAGTACAGCATGCAATAAATACTGCTGTTTTGCTTGTAATTTGTCATCCAGGGATGACTGCTGCCACTTTGGTGCCATTTTGCTGTTAGGGGCTTACTTGTGTGAAGTCCCAGTGCATGTGTAAGTGGTTCAGCTTTGCCATGGGACAGTCATGCAGAGTGGGGAGACTTCCAGAGCCTGGATCCACCAGGCAGCGGTTATTGTTATACTTGTGAGATTTAAGGCCTCCTATGATGATTTCATTGTCTGTGGTGTAGTAACAGTGCTAAAAAGAAAAGTTAAAGATTTAATACCAGTTCTGTATCCATATGTGTGTTTTTTCCAACATTACCTGTGGTTGTTGGAAGTGGCACTCATACAAAACTGGGATGTTTCCTGGAAGGGCTCCCTGATCCACACAGTACCGCTTAAAAAACGTGTTCTGCAACTTAAGTGTGGCAAAAGGTGACAATATCTTATTTTATAGTCAATTTATTTTACTGAACTTATTGTGCAAATGTCTCAGGCTCATTTACTTGCTCAACAAATACAATGTATCTCTTACCACACCATAACCCAAGATGTTGTCCCATGTTTCCAGACTTGGATAGACATGGTCAATGTACCACTTGAAAGGTTTACATTGCATCTTTTCTCTGAGTTTTATCCTTTCAGATACATCACCGACGTCAATTCCATGGTCCTGAGTGAAGATTTATAATAAAGCATAAAGAGCACAAAATCTGGTAAAAATCTGTATTTTTGAACAAAGTCAAAACCAGTGCGCCACAGCTTTCCTTCTTTGACATGATTTCAGTCAAATATAGAATATTTCTGCTAGAGTTAAAGTTAAGTGTTGAGTTTTTTTTAGCACAACTTATTAGATGTATTAAATATAATGAGGCAGTGTTCTCCTCAGACAAACATATTATTGTGTGTTAGAATTTAGAAGAAGAAAACACTTGTTACTTCTGTAGTAATTACAGGAACATTGAAAATTATACACTGACTTTTAAAAATAGCCTTTTTGAAAGTTATAATTATAATGTTCTTCTGGTTTTAAAACCAGCTAACAAATGCAAAATATTTTGTTTGGTAAATTTGGAATGAGTAGAACCTACCAAAAGCCTCATATGGCCACTGTGAGTCTGTCTAGACTTTAAACAAACCTTTTGAAGTGTGACTTGTCAAACGTTTCTGGTTACACTGGTTAATGAATAAAACTTTAATAATCTTACACAAATAATAAGGGACACTTTCCTACTAGCTTGCACCTAATTATCGCCTGGTGCAGAAGGCAAAATGGGTGATAATGATTTTACTTGTGTGTGCATGTATTTGTGTGTGTTTGTCATGTCAGCAAATTATCTCATGAACCACCACAATAGTGTGAATGCTTATGAAGCATTCACACTATTATGATCCATTTTTCTTCCGTACATTTTTTTTCCATCTTTCTCATTCCACAATTTTTGTGCCATTTCAACAAATCATATATCAAAACATTCAGCTTGTTCAGGAGAAGGGTGCTATGATTTTTGGTATTGGTGCAACATTAGCTTTTTGAAATATTTAGCCTTCTCTGCCATTTTTTTTCCCTCATGAATTGAGCTAATTTTACCTCCTTCAGATCTTTAGATCTGTTTACAGACTTTTATTGCTCCTTTCACATTTTGTTCTGGTTCAGCTTCTTTCCTT